GTAGTAAGCGAAACAGTCTCCAACAAATCATATAATGTATTTCTAGGTCTTTTGCAAAGGTATACACAAGAATTTAAGACTGTAAAACACAAACGCAACGCGGATATTAAAAAGAAAAAAGCTCATTACTACAAAAATAGGTTTCGTTCGATATATCATCATCCAAGGCAAGTCTGGCAGGCTGTAAATGAATTTACCTCTAAGCCCCGTGCAGTTACTACAAAAACACTTACAAAAGAACAGGTGACATATTCTAGCCAATCTTTGGCAAACGAATTAATGTCTCATTTCTAAGTACGGGGTTCTTCAATGTTACCTTCCACGAGTACGCCTTGGTGTGAACCTTATGTTACATTACCTTTGGATAACTCAATTTTCTAGCACCCTCTAGTGAAATAGAAGTAAACACGTATATTAAATCCTTAGGGAACAGTGCCGCCTGTGGTTAAGATGGTTGTGTTCTAAGCCAATAAAATAAATTTCATCTTTAATCTGTACACCCCTTGCACACATTTGTAGCACTATTTTAAGTACTGGTACCTTTCCAGAAATATTTAAAATACCAAAAGTATGTGTAATTCAAAATGGTGGTCCTAAGAATAACATGAATAACTAACTATAAACCAATCTCAGTACTTCCAGATTTTTTTTAAAAAAGTCGAACGCGTTATTTTTAAACGTTTAGGTGAATTATGTGTTAAACATAACATTATCACAAACATCCAGTACAAATTTCAGAAATGTAAATCAACGGAGATGGCATTGCTAAATCTAAAAAATAAAATCATCGACAACATAAAAAAACAATGTTATACGCTAGGTGATTTTTAGAGAAAAAAAAACATTTGACTCCATAAAACACAACATCCCAATCCGAAAACTACCGCTTTATGGAATAACATGCACTGCACTTAGCCTGATCCGCAGCTAATTCATATCTCAACTTCAATATATGGTCCTCAATGATGCACGCTCTTCTCTAGCGAAACTTCAGTATGGTGTACCGCAGGGATCAATTCTCGGGCCTCTGGTTTTCCTTCCTGATATTAATGACATAGTAAACATCCCAGAAACTCCTGATATAACTTTATACGCAGATGACACAAATTTATTTTTCACCGTTGATATGCTTATGTACTTTAGAGACACAAACACTTGACAGGACAAACTTCATTGTGGTTAGTTGCTAATCAGTTAGAATTAAATACGTAGAAAACTAAGTAAATCATTTTCGAGAAAAAGACGAACTCAATACTGGCACATTTAATATATTCTCTCAAAACTACGTTATTGGACTCGTGGAATCTTATAAATTTCTTGGTGTTCGTTTCAACGAAAATTTGTATTGGACTGCTTAAGTAAACGGTCTCCGAATAGTTTTCTAGATCTACTAGCTTACCTTTTAGGTGAAGACGCCTTTCAAACTGGTTGAAATGACAAATCTATACATCTATGATTCACTCCTAGTTTCATTACTGTTCATTACTGTTTATTGGTGAGGATGACAACCACAGGAAATAGTATTACCCAACGACTTACATTACAAAAACGCGGCGTTCGTCTAACTGAACATTTTCCCCGGTCCCAATCTACTTCCTATAGTTTTAATAAGCTTAAAAATACCTATGGTAGATAACGTTCTTGCTTAAAGGTGGCGATTTGAATTCATACTCAAATTAACACTGATCCTGACATCTTTCACGATACGTACCCACCCATGCAAACAAATTACAACCTAGGGCATCAGCAGTTCCCAAAACCAAAAAATGAACAAATTATGGTACTCAAAAATTATGCTACCAGATTCCAGCTATCCGAAACAAACATTACTGCGAGTATGAAATGGCCCAGAAAATCACTTTCATGTTTCATTTAAAAAATATATATACATAGGGAATATTTTAATGTTGCTAGTGAACATACCTACTGAGTTGTGTTATTAATCAGTCTCATTTTTTTAATCTTATTTGTAAGCTGAAGAGTCTTTAGCTTAGGCGAAATAATTTCTTTCACCACTTGTGCTGTGAGCTGGCATTTATTTTATTTTTCTCTCTCGATTTGCACCCTGGCGGTGAGTCTTGTTACAGGGGTTGGGACCCAGTAAAGTGATTGTATTTGGTTTTTGTCGCAACCCCCTTAAATGCGTGTAAAAAAATAACGCACGTTACCAGTTTTGTTAATATTATTTTGAGCTTTTAAATTGCTCTGCACAAAAGTAGAGGCTTACGGTTCAACAACCGTCACGTCCTAGAGGCGGCTGACGTATCAGTAACCCCCTAAAAGTAGGTGTGCGACATGCTTCATAATGCTCTTTTTTATATTGAAACACAAGGCCGTGGCTTTATTTTTGTCCTATACGGCAGGCAAACGAAGATCTGGAACCACTCTGTTAAGCGCAGAGAAAACAAAAATCTCAAACTGAAAAATATGTAACACATAAATATAATGCTTATTATATTTTAATTATTGCACATTGACATATTAATAAAACTACTATCCACAAGTTGATGCGTCCCATAGATGCTCACCCTTAGTATGCACAAATAAACAACAATGCAAGACATTAGTATATTTCAGCACTCCAACCTTAGCAGCAAAGATTTCTAAATATTTTGCGCTATACGCATTTCTTTCTGTAGTGGCCTGCGCTATCCTTACTTCCAATTGGAATGTTTCATTTTTTTTCATTTATTTATTCATTTCTTACGGAGCGCGGGTCAACCTCTGGTGAGCGCGTGCTTAAAAAATATGAATTCCAATGCCATAGTGTCCTGGCGTTCCCGCAAAACTAGTGAACCGGACGTGATGTTGCGTTCTGAAGAACTTCTTGCAATTCTGAGTCTGCCTGTTGCGGTGCAGTGAGCTTCTCGAAATATACTAGACCCCAGGGCGAGGAAAGGGCTTCGATGAGAGAAAGCGCATCGGCCGTGCTGTTGTCTTGGTCCTTTACGGGACGTAGATCAGCCATAAACTTGGATATGAAGGCATCGTGTCTTATCTCCTGAGTTTACAACAGCTCAAGGTAGCGATCACTCCACGGGACGTTCGTCCTCAAAGGGTCGACTATCTTCCTCCTGTCCTCCTCGGCCTTCGATCGGCGTTTAAGCAAGAGCATAACTGCCTGTGCACGGAGTTTGTGTATGGTACACCACTCCGAAGGCCCGAACACTTCTTCGAAACACCCAAGACATCGGAGTTTTTTCACCATAGATGTACCTGTAGAGTATTCGGCTGAACTTTCGGCAGCTGCAACCAACACCACCTCGGTTGCCAAGCTGCAAGAAAATATTTGGCAGCAAGGAGTTGCAGGAGCGCACCTCGATGTCAAATAGGTGATTCTGCAATTCTGCGCATTCTTTTTCATCAAGGCTTTTTCAAACATATCGGTTGGTGCGCGAGAAAGAATCCAAGTCGAGAGGTGATAGTATAGACGTGTGCTAAAAGTGCGGCACACTGCTCAGTATTTTCCAATATAGAAAATGTAAAATAACTATTAGGAAATTATTTTAGTACAATTGGTGATAGAAGTTAAATGACGTGAAATAAAAATAATGACGGATATTTCGATCCCGGTAGAGAGTTTCATAAAGATGCTGACACTGTCTGAAGCGCTAATGCTTTGTGTAATCATAATCATTTGCATTTCGTACCGTGATGATCTGCCAGAATGATTAATGCTTTGGAACTGCCTAAAAGAAAGTGTTCTATGCGGGTTTCTTTTACTATTTATTTGCTCAGTCTCTTGACTCGAGCACTAACCCCTTCCAACTTTCGAAATGCAAAGCCTGGCGAGATTACTTTGCAGACAGTCTCATGAACTGCAGAGCGTTCTTGTCATCGCTCTGGATGCCAATGAGACGGTTGTATTGGCCGATATAAATTTCAAAGACAAAATTACAAAGCAAGACGCATGCACAGATATAAGCTGCGCCCTTGACTTCTTTGATTTTAGCTGTCGGTTACTATAGTGAAAGCATGTAAAAGAATGACCACTGCGATCATATTCATAAATGATGCATACAAAAAAAAACTTTATACTTGGTGTGGAAAATTTTATAGCAGTATAATATTTTTTTTTATTCATTATGGTCGTCCAGCCGTATAAAGCATTTACTCAGGGGGCAGATACACTTGCAAAAGAAATTCTGAATTTGCGGCATACCGAATCTTTTTGGGTAAGGCATCCCACTCCTTAATAGTGTCAATAAAACAAAAATGGTTTGCCGAATTCAGTCCCCGTGCGGTGTTCTCTTAGCTTATAATTGTGGTTTCTTTTTTAAGATATAAATTCGAGGTATTGGAGGTAACAAGTAAGTGGAGCTATTAATAAGAGTTACATTGTGGCGTATAGTGTACGAAAACTTCGAGTGCAAATTTCCTCCTTTTATTGCCGTCGAAGATCATCCCAATTCCGCGTCCGGATGAAACAAGCAGCACGATTCTGAAGTTACGAAGCGTAAAAAAATATTTATTTGAATATTCACACTGCGAACCGTTCTGACAACACCTGTCTTTAATTGCCACCTTCTTCGCGTTTTAATTTGAAGATAAAATATAGTATCTTAAAGATGTATATAAGCTTTATAGCCTCAAGGTCCCTGAGGTGAGTGGTTGTTTAAAAATGAGCCCAGTTCAAACTGGTACCAGTTTGAACTGGGCTTTGCAATAGGAAGGGTATTACTGTTAACGGTGGTGAACCAGTTTCTTAATATTTTCAATACCACCACCTCGATACCTTCCTCCCTAAGCAGCGGCTCACGACACGGTAATTGTCATTTCTAGAATCACGCTTACTTTCACAGAATCTCATAAACGCTGTCTTGTCTCAAGTTTATATATATATATATATATATTTTTTTTTTTTTTTTTTTTTAGTAGACACTTATGACCGTTGCTTTACTTTTGTTTTATTCGGCAAGCAAAGAAAAAATATGATACTTTTGTTCCGAGCGCATCCCGTTAAAGTTTAAACAAACAAAGTTAAACCCCAAAAAAAAAAGTTTTTTTTCAAACGCCAGCAATATCTTTATTAAGCTTTATTGCACCGCAAATCCCCAGTAAACGTATTTCTGTAAGCATCAATACGTAGGATCAGCTGGAATCAAAGTCTTGAAGGCGCACATGTCTAACCTGCAGAAATAAACAATAATAGGAAGCGCATTAGAAGGATAGCACTAAATCTTTAACAACATTCATTCAATAATATAATGATAAAAACTGTTACGAGCTCCTTATTAACATAAATATCAAGACATTCATATAGATATTCCAAAATTTAACAGGAAGCGTAACACTGTGTCTCGTTTTGAGAAACTATTTAATATATGTCCGCCATGCTCGAGCTAAAGGTTTTTGGCATGCCTAATTATCATAAAGGTCTTCTTTTCTCAGGAAATAAGTAAGATAGCTTACATCTTTGTCCAACAAGTCTCGAAACGAGCTTCATGAGAGGTTCGGTGAGGTCTCCCAAGCCGCCAAGCGAGTTCTTCAGGAGATTAATCACACTGCACAGAAGTCCTTTTACGGTATCGTCGAGGTCGCTTTCGCTGAGGTTCTCCAGTATGCACTGCACGGATTGAAAAATGTTTATTCTTGGCCATTTTTTTTTATAGTTGTGTATGACAAAACACAGCGCGTTCGCATGACGCAAAATTTGTAAGGCAAAATTTGGCATTATGCTTCTCGTGTCAAAATATAATATAGAACGTTTGTGTGATGAGACGTATTTTCGAAATGTCATATTTTAGATTGAGTTAATTACATTTCTTAAATAGTTCATATTTTATTTCATTTTGAGTTCATTTGATTTCTAACTGGAACGGAATACTCCTGCCCCTCGTCGGCCATTATGTTTGTCTACAAAGATTTAATGTTTACGTTAACATGCATTCTTCCAATCTTGAATTAGTTTTACTGAAATGTGTCGGCGAAGAAGCATATGAAATCTAAGCGTTTTCATTTGTCAATGTGGGCTTATATAAATTACTCGAAGTTGCTAGTAAATAATGCAGCACATAAAAAATCTGCTCGTAAAATAAAATAAATTGTATGCATCAATTATTGTACCAAAAACCTTGCTTTTATGTAGTGACTATCAATGATCAAACATTTATGAAAGTATACTAGTTTCACATATATTGTTTAGTAGTTAGATATATTATAATCTTGATATCAAATTTTGGATAACGTTCTCGCTTTTTTGTTGCAATATACCAGTAGAGTTATCGAAAATAACAATATTGTGAGGAAGGAGACGACGACGACGGGCTAGTGGTGCGCACGACAATCTCTCGCATGGCCTCACGTGCTGGTTCAGCCTCCAGAAATCCTTTATGCGTCCCGCAATTTCGCTCGACAACATCATCCTAACAACATTATGGTAGGTGTGGTATTCAGCGAATTTCACTAAAACAACAAGCAACAACATCAAGCAACAACAAACAACACTAAAACGACAAGCGTCGGCGCAATGTCGCATGTAATCTATGCATATAAGTTAGCTGGAAGACACCGTAATACGAAATATGTTGACTCGGCGTGTCTTCACTTTTTCTTTATCAATACATGTTGAAGCAGACCAGTTGACGATCACAATTATCACCGGAAATACCGTGTTCATACTAAATTTGTTCCATGCTGTTCAGATATTTCTTAACTGATGCGCTAAAAAGCCGCAGTACGCTATAATACGCTTAAGCTAATGAATGAGAAATAAGAGCTTAGGGCTCTTAAAGAACGCCGGTTATAATATGCAATAATATGTTAACTATAGACATAAAAACGTTCAGCCTTTCCACCCTGGTGAAGAATGAAGACCAGCGGAGCTGTACAAGGGAAAACAATGGCCGGCCGCAAGTCGGCAAGCCAGAGTGGAAAGGCTGCCGCCCTCTATGAGCGACAGCGGAAACCAGATACGTGGCTTGCCGCCGTCGCTCATAGATGGCGGCAGGGGTCCAGAGTTAGATGTCTTCATTTTTTGCGGGGGACACGATCTTGGTGAAACTAGCCCTTAACAGCTGGGCTGTAAAAATATTATAGCTTGAAGCGATTGTAGTTACTTGCGCTCTGCACTGCTACGCAAACATTGTTCAATGTTTCGCTTAGGTTGACTTTGTTTAGGCTTAGCGTTGATCGAAGGCGGGATTAGAACTAGTAAAATACGCCAGGAACGGCACGAAATTTGTAGGAACGCCGAAAGCGTGAATGCCTGTGGTCAGTCTGAAAGTCGTTTCTCTATTCTCGTAGATATATTTGTAAATACACCTGCATCTCTAGAATATTATATATTCTCTTTGTTCCCAGATTATAATGGTTTCGTACTTTGCGCAGGGGCTGGGGAATCGGACATTCTGATTTGGTCATGTCGAACACCTTGGGATTGGGAGAGAAATATGTCGAATATTTAGGAAAGTGCCCTGAAGCTTTTTTTTTTCTTTGTTTACAGCGGAGCTGTTAAAGGTTAGGTTCCCCAGGATTGTGTTCACCAGCAAAAAAATGATGACATTGAACTCTGGACAGCCACCGCCATCTATGAGTGACGGCGGCAACCGAACAACTGGTTTCCGCCGTCGCTCATAGATGGCGGCAACCTTTGTTTGGAGGAAAAAGAGCGGGATCGGAACGAGCAGCGATGGGCGCAGCAGCGCGACTGGTTCCGCAACCACCGCGAAGGCCGCTATGGCCTAAACTTCCACTGCGTCGAGCGCTTCAGGTTCCCTTGCGAAAAAAGAGCAGATCGCACGCCTGGTGAGCCACTGTCAAGAACAGAAGCTACAGCTCCGCTGCTCTCCCTTCTTCACCAAAGTGGAAAGGCTAAAAGGTTTTTTTTTTTTTTATTTAGTTCCCTTTGGAGGCTGCCTGGTATGTTGGTTTCCACTAGAGCCTAATATATTATGTTTCTATTCGTAACTTTCGGCGATGGTGGTACCGCGGTGTGAGAAGCCCGCACCCTATAGCTCCTGGATGATCGGCTTAGAAATAGCGGTGCTGGCTCACACCTTCCTGACGAGGAAATATGACGTAATGCTTTCATATCCCTCGTATATCACAAAATTATAGTTACTAACGCGTCCCGAACCGAACCCCATTATTCAGCTATTCTACGGCGATCATCGAGATGATAGCCATTTTTGAAAGGAAATAGAGCGGCCCCTATAGGCTGTGAAATTTACGATGGGTATTCACTGCGTTCCATATTTGAGTGGGCTGTTTAGAGGGCATGCTCAGAACGAGCTCCCATTAATAGGCTGCTAAGACTACCAATCTTGATAATGTGCAATGCGCGTTGCGAAAAATAATGAAAGCTTGCAGTCAGGACGCTCTGAGCAGTCGCGTGTGCCGAAGCTGGCAGCTGCAGCCATCAGTGAATGCTCTCTATGAATAACATTTACAGAAAAGTGCCGGGCAATTTCTACCCTAGCAAGAAGGCCAGCTTTTCTTGCCCAGATTTAATCTGAAGGCACAATTTCTTCTTTTTTTCAAACCCTACGCTTCAGTGCACTGGGTCGGGAGGGATTTAGTACGTCGAAAACGTGCACTGACTAGTTTCATTAGGGCGTGTGCCATCTTTGCGTTATGATTCCGCGTTGTTTATCCTTAATACCTGGTGTGTTTTGTACGGATGACAACTTGTCTCAAAACGGTTGTTTCGTTCCTAGTATATTTCGAAAGGAAGACTGAAGAAGATATGATCAGTCGGCTGTCACGAAGCCGCCACTTCAATTTAGAGTTTTAAAGTGTAAGTGATTCGTACTTTCACTGATCTGTACTGTGAAGGATTACATATACCCACCAGGTGGAGCAGCAAAACGATGAGACATGCACAAGTAAGTCGATGACCTCCGCATGTCGCGTCGGTTTCCTCTACTCCATTTTACGCTGAGTCCGAGGTTAGCCGAGGCTACACGATCGAATGGAGCCAGTTATAGAGCACGAAAAGTGCATCGTCATGGTGCTCGTCGTCTTCGTGCTTTTACTGTCGTCTGTTGAACCAATTGCGCACAAACAAAGACGCAAGATCCCGGCGCTTCCACAGTACGTGATTGGGTGAGTCCGTAATGCGCAAGCGCACGAAGAGGAGATGCGCCGTGATGGTGTACGTTTGAGGCTGCCCGATTGGCTACGGCGGATCTTAGCCTCGGCGGTGGTTAGATTCAGTGCGATAAAAAACTTGGTCCTGGTGGGCTATGGTTCACTAGGCCTACATGCTACGCAGACATTCTATAATGCGGGGTGCCTCCAAGAAGGTATAGGGCGCTTTTACGCCAAGTACTTCTAGTTCCAAATCTCGCCAGACGCGATGTCGATGAACTTTGGCCCGGCACTTTGCTATAAGTAGGGGACGTATTTGTGAGCTCGATCGCTAGACCACTTTCGCGTTCTGATGAACTGTGCCAGCGAGTGCAGTCATGAACACAAAATAGCGTCGGCTGGTATGCAATCTTTGTACGCACCACGGTCTTCATTCGTTCCTCAGACGAGACCGATTTGTAGAAGTCGTCCCGCGAATGGTCCCGATAGATGCCACGGGGAAGACATTGAAAGGACAGAAAATGGGGTAGCATGGGCCTATGCGGCCGAATAAAGTCCTCGGTTGCACGTACGTAGTTATGTCGTCGACAGAGGCACTCGAAATGCTTGTGCGTTTCACCAACAACAAAATCGACACCAATAATTCATCATCTGCGTGCGAACCAGTAGGCAAAGTGGAGGACGCTGCTCGTCAAAATAGGGGAACCCGTACAAACCGGATGTGAAAAAGCGATTTGTGGAAGAGCCTTATCGTTATTATAAGTTTTGATAACAACGCTCCCTTAAGCATGTAGTGAACGTAAAAAAGGTATCATCAACAAATATGTAACAATATGACTTACCGTCAGTGCGTCAAATATGCCCTTTGGGACGGTCAGCTGCAGGAAGGAGTGAGAAAGAAAATGTCAGAAGAAACTTCTCCAGTCTGCGTAGCAACGGGATATTTAAAATTATATAGATGTGTAAGTTTTAAAAACTGAAGATTAAGAGGCACCGTAGTGAAAAATCTTATTTGTTTGAGAAATGCCTTGGTCCAATAAACGCATATGATCAAATAAGTTGGTATAAGAACATATTCGAACCATACAAAAGGGTATGATGGGTTATAAGTCTCTCATAAAAGTTCCTTATAACTTCTCGTGTAATCCTATATTGTTCTATAATATTATTATATGGCCTTATATGGTCATATGCGTTTATTGGGCCAAAAAAATATGATATATATGAGTTTTTCACATTTGATGTATTGCTATCTTAAAAATATATATTAGGTTATAATTGCGGAAGCAGCGATGTGCTAAAATTAATGATGCGAAGCTGCACTCTACAAACAGTCATGATGCAACGGTACTGTAGTCGCGGTATTATCAGTGTTTCGACTTCAATGTAAACAAGAGCTTTTAGAGTTGTATATATAGTTGGTCATATTTATGCTGTTTTTTATGTAAATATCTTGATCCTCAATTACTGTGTTATCCATTTGTTTCACAAAGATGTTTCATTAGCAATTCGAGCATCCCTGTTTTTTCAAAGAGGTACACAACGACGCAAGGTACCCATAAGGGTTCAAAGTTGACAGAAATATCGAGATCACTCACGTCAACAGGAGTATCGCCATCGCATGCCGATAGTGTCAGACCAAGGCACTGCAAGGCATCAAATCATGAAAGTGTCTCTAATACATCAAGAAAGCAATATACCTTAAATATTAAATCGTGCGATCATAAATATATACGGCACAGACGCTGCTGCAGTCGGTGACAATTTAAGAAACGCAAGGAGTGGCGAGTCACGAGCGCCTTACTCTCGTTTGGCAGACATTGATGTTGCGGAATTGGGCGACAAGGACACTGATGAACAAATTCACATGCAAAACGCGCGGAGCCGCAAAAACACCACAGATTGCGCATTTCCTAAAGGCTGACCTACAGAATTGTGGGCTGAAAACTGGTCCTCAGTTTTCTTTTCTCCTGCTACTCTCCGAAGAAAGCAGGATGGGTCTCCGTGTGTGTGGTGCGCGTTTAGTATGCCACACCAACTAAGCGTTAAAAAAATATTTATGTCAGACGCAGATTGTAAAAGAAAAATGTCACACCGATACGACAATGAATGTTTGCAATGGCCTGAATACTGCTCCCTAGAGACATCCTATTCTACTAACGAAAATGAGTTGTTCACTTTAAACGGGGGCACTCAGGTGGATTTTGAGATTGTCTATTTAGTGTAATTACCCAATCTGTTGGCTCTAAACTTTATAAGACCCAAATCACACTCGTGAGCGGCAGATTTCCCAATTAGTAATCTAATCAAAAATCGTAAAACGCACCTCTTTCTGCGCCTTGTAGCAGACACAAGGGGGCGTCGTCGAACGCCGTTTTCAACAATAATTGCGTTATTGCGTTACCAACACCCAAATATTTCACGTGTTTGTCGAAATATAATGCAGAACGCGCCTAAAAAGAGCCTATAATAATAATTTTCGGGAGCTTCACGCAATTAAATACTTTTATTCGTAAATCTTCTTGAGGTAGCGGGAACCCGAAGATGCCACCCAGGTGAGAATTGTGCCCGTGTATGTCTGTCGCTGTAAGTTTAATAGGATGTCTTGCATCTACAACTGCTCATTTTTATTCAGTACAGCCCAACAAACAATATGCCATCAAAAACAAGCTTCTACAAAAAGCACTCGAGTACCCCTTTTTTGAGTTTAAGGTAAAAAAAGAGCTTCGAACTTAGCAACCAGTTCAATCATTCAAAAAGCAGATTTCTACCAACAACTTGCTATAATTTTAGTGGTACTGTACAGGAATTTACGCGTATTAACGTGCGAGTTGCGCAAATCTTTATGAGAAAGGAGGTAAATTATGAACATTTGTAGAATCTATTTTCACTGAGAGCTTATGCAACGCAGGGCATAAAAATACTGTGCTGACGCTGAATTTTTGCTTCCAAATTTCTTGTTCGTTAATATAGAATACATACGCAGTCTGAATGAATGATAGTACAACCTTTGGGACTCTTTATACAACTGGTTTCATAAGCTTTCAGTAAGATATAGAAGGTGACGTGTGGTCATTTAGTAGACATTCGGCAACGTGAGCTTTCTACCCTTCACAACACGCCGGCGCGCACGGAGCTGCAGTACGACGGAAGGCAGCAAGCGCGTGCTTGAGGCTGTGGTTCTGTCACTTTCTTAGCCTTCAATTGACTATACAGGCGGCTATTGTTTAATGGAAGCAAATTTTAATATACAGAGTGCAAATTGCTAGCTGAATGTCATCTTCGCTAGATGTTTCTTGAGTTTGGCGTCCAATGGTGCGGGAAATATCATGATGATGTGTTGGCTAATTTAATTAAATTTGGTAATTTGGGTTTGAATTATTGATTCCACGGTCGTGTTGCAATTGCAGAAATTACAGTAATTACTATTAGAGGCGTGACCAATAAAATAATCTGTAAACTGACATTAGTTTTGAAGACATTAATTTATCAAATTAAAAAATTTTAGACCGATTTAAATATAGCGCGCAAAACGCGTGCCGCAAACCCTGCCAACACAATAACGCTCTGTAGGGTGACTACATCACTCGTCCAAGCGTCATTGGGGGCAGGGCTCGCAGCGCGGTTTTCGCGAGCAGTTTTCCAATGAGACAAGTAAACGTGAAACTTGAATAATTAATATCTCAAACGCTAATTAACGTTTGCAAATTATGTTAATTGTCTGGTCTATATTAGCGGTCACCGTCAATTCTGCAATTGCAATATGTCACTTAAAGCCAGTAACTAAAATGATTTAACAATTTTAAGTTTATTCAACTACTTACCATGCCGATTATTCGAGAAACACATAGGGCAAACGGCATTAAACTAGCAGTTTGCACCCTTTTATGAAAAATTATCTTTACTGTAAAACCTATCACCCCGTATATGGGAGCTCGATATCGGATCTGGATGGGCTCTAACAAGTGTATCGTTTTAATTAGTATAATTTTGAGATTTATTTTGAGACTTGTCTGTAACCAAGATATTATATAATACGAAACTGATTTGTTCTTAAGGCCATTTCGACAATAGCAATGTTACTAAAATATGCAAATAGATTTTTTCTGTTGAACGTTCGTGTTAGTCGATTACTTAACCGCATGATTTAAAATTTGCCTCGATTCTTATTAGCAAATTTATGCTTTATTAGTGTCAGTGTATAAACCTCCTTGAGGAAGAAACAAAATATACATTAGATTCTTAAGTCCTGGTGCCTGACAAAGTCCTTTTTTAAATGAGGCACCAGAGCAAGATTAAATGTTCCGTCTTAAATGCAATGTAAATCTGTTGTTTACATCCAGCGTCTGATTCTCACTCCTACCTAAACTCGGAAAATCTATCTCTCTTTTTTACCAAGTTGAACTTACTCTGAAAATTTACAAAGTGCTCAATTTTTAAGTAACTGACTCGTTTATGCGACTGAAAAGTTTGCCCACATGGTTGGTCTTTTCTGGAGTTCAGTCACGAAAGTTTTATTATTCTTATTTGCACATTTAATCGATCTCTGCACCCTCCACACCAACGCGCGACTCTGACTTCATGCGGCGCAAGCGCAGAATCGTCACTTCACGCAAACCGGGTTTTTGCGCACGCGCAGTCCCCAGAACTAGTGTGTGCAATTGCGAACTTGTTTGTAAGCGGCGCCTTATGGCGTATAACGGGGGCGTTATTCTGGCGGGTAAAGTGGAATGTTCAGAACGTGCTTTACCTTGCGACGCCTGATTTAGTTTGAAGAGCTTCTTTAATGTACCACTCAAACTCTGTTTCAAAAATATTATTCGTCGCCAAGTCACTGTATAAGTCATATGACCGCAGACCACGTGACATAGTGTACAAGCACCATCAAAACTGAACCAGCCAAATAGGTATACTGTTCAACGAAAAAAAAAAAAAAGTATTGTCGTATCCTTCTGGAATCGGAAGTCGACGATATTTAATAATATACTATGGAATTTAAACCACTGGAATTCTGCGAAGATAGTTGAACTCTTATTTCAGCCGCTGAATAATGTTGATGCTCGAAAGCGTCTGGAAAAAAAGAATAGCCAACAAGAATTTACGCCCTTAGAAACTTACTTCGCCTGCGTTGAGTGCGCTTGGTAAGTTGATGACAACAACCCCGCTGCACGTAATCTCGTCGGTCACTTCCAGAATAGTACAGTTTGCAACACCGCTAAGGGCGTTCAACAGACCTCCGAGACCGAGTAAGTTCAAGACGCTTTTGATTGCTCCCGTTACTGTGCCGCATAGGAGGTCAAGTAAATCGGCCACCAAGCCTGAAATGTTGAAGGAAATGTATTGCACGACCACTACTGCAAAAAACAAATGCCAGTGACCTTTATTTTTGAAGTCTTTTAATGCATAAAGTACAGTATTCAAAACAGAAAAGTTTAAATTTGTTTGGAAGATATTAATCTATCCTTTCACGGAGTTGAAACGTACCTATATAAACTGACTTGTTGCTGATGTCACGTAATGTACATTTCACCGGTATATTTAGCGGGCAAATTGACTGTGTTTAAGTACCGTGATACCAAATATCAGTCATATTTATCAGGGAAAAGAAATCGTGTATAGTGTCCGCGACGTAGGGTCACAGGACTTCAATATACCAGCCAAATTTAACGGGAAAACTAAATTGCTTTAGTTGCCTGGCAGTGCAGAGCAATGAGTGTGGCAGCAAAGCAGGCTTTACGTGTGCACGTTGAACTAGAAATTAGCCTAAATATCATACACGTGCTCAAGAGGTTTTTGTATGCCAGCGTGTAACCTACGCACAGTGGTTACCGCGGTATTTTCTCGCGTGAGTAGATCCTTTTCACCCGCTTCCCTAAGCTATTCTAAAACCAGGATGAGAATTCGAATCTCTTTAGAGGGGCATCGAAAAAGTTACAATATATACGAAGTGACTTTGAAATACTGCAATAGAAACTAATATTACGTTTGTTCTAAATGTCAATTAAAAAAATATGCATGGATAAGAAATTAAAAACGAAAGACACTTCAAACTGATATCAAACAAAATTATGAAAGATTTTGTTAATTTGTAGTTTAAATACGGCGCAGTGATCTGCTTCCAATATGGAGTGCAGTGCCGCCTTTTAACCAGTAGACTTTTGAAGTCCAAACCTCTCTGAGGCCATCAACAATTTCTATTGCATATATCGACAAATATGCAAAATGTGGTAGAATGAAAGCATTATTAGTTTGGTGTTTGTTCTAAAAAAACTACCGCACATTCAGTCAATTAATTGTCCAAAGGGACCCGTAGATAAATTTTCAGAAGTTATAGTCTAAACAAAAACGATAGTAAAAAATTTGTTCTTACCCAAGTTATTCCTTCGAAGAATAAACTGGACAAGCGCCCCAGCGACGTGAAGTTGCGTTGGCAGGTTCAGGGAAGATATGCTCTCTAAAGAGCACTACTCAGGAACGAACAAAAGAGAATATTTTTTTTTATTTACAAGAGAAAGAGGTCAATCTGCTAAAAAAAAAATTGACCTGCTTTTAACAAAATAACAACACTCAATAGCAGAATAAAACCATAAAGGTCTGTGTCCTTGGGAATTCTATTGGTATTCAGAAACTATATTAAACTAGATATTAAAAAATGGAGCAATATGTTCTTCCCTTGTACGCAACAGTAAGTTGTCTATCAGTCAAAAACAAAAGCGACAGCAAGGGAGCGTTAACCAAAAACATAATGATATTTAAACGTTCAATCAGATGTTAAACAAATTTCGAAACCTAAAACACTGGAAGTAATAACTCACCACATATCCTACACTAACTAATTAAACTTGAAATTTGTATCCATGATGAAAATCAAAATTGAACTTCAGAATTATGGTAAAAATACCAATAACACATTTAGTGACTATTGTAGTTTCAATAATTAAACATTTACCTACCTCTACTAGTTTTTCGACCAGGGTAACAATTCCTTTCTGTAAAAAAAAATACAAAATTAAATCAAGGGACCATTTTCAATTTGGACTTGCCACACAAAGTTGAGTTGTTTATAAACATAATTAATATGTAATAATTAAAAACACAAGTTTTTAGGGCATGACCTGACTATCTACATTGCTGTAAATGTTTACTTAGACATTTAAATAATGGGAACAGTAACTCTCCAGCAGCAATCAACGTACGTTATGAGTTTACAATAGGAAATGTGATGCTAGTCTGGTGAGAACTGAATGTCTTAATAATAATAATAATAATAATAATAATGACTTTATTTTCAGTGCCCAAAAACAACCACAGCGGTCTTCACTTTGGTACACCTGTTCAATCCTAGAAACACGTTGGTTGTTACCATCACCCAAAAACAAATAAACAAACAAAATGTTATCAGTAAATTACAAGGTTATTCAACTGATGGCGGTACAATGAAATGGATGTACAGAAATCGAGGTGCTTAGGAGCAATGCTGTTGTATAATGTCTGAGTCCGAGAAAGCGGTGAAGTACAACAAGGTGAACGTACATCAATAATAACCACATGTCAAAACGAATGACTCCCTTCCTCGTTTAAAAGAAGAAAAAAGAACTATGTGTATGTTCGTTATGATTAACATTTTGTATGCAGGCAATAGGAAAAACAACGAACAGGTTTATTTTTCTTGACAGAGTTACGCGATCTGGTGGCTGCGCTGGTTAAACTTCTGAAAGCACCACGAGGCAATAAACAAACCAGTAGACGAACATTTATAATAAAAGCGATATTGAAAATATTAGGCTTCCTTTTAGAATCAACTCAATTCTAGATTTAGATCCATCGACCCGAAGAAAAAAATAAGTGTAACGCATTAGACTTTTATGCTGTCTTACAAGGTATAGTCCTTTGTGTCTTAATTTTGCTTCGAATCCAATTTATGTGTGCAAATCGCAGGAGCCACACCTGTTCGGAAGATGTTTGGAACATATTGGATCACTGTAAAACATGCTTCATTTAAAAGGTTTATTTTAGGATCTAACCAGGACTGTTTTTCCTTCCAATTCGAACACAATATGACGTTTAAATGATGCCTTTCTCAATCCAGAATTAACGCGTAAAAAAGGTTACATCCAATTTCAAATAATGTGACTTCAGCTTCAAATAATCAAAGTTATTAAACTGCCCATGTTTTCTTATGCAACACTATCTGGTTTTAAACACAAAGTGTACTTACGCTGTCTTCAATGCATAGGTTTCCGGCATCTCCAACACACTGTGTTAAGGTAAAAGGCGAACAAAACCCATATGAAGAAATATACTAAAAAAATGTGTAATAATTCATCATTCTCTACCAACTCGACGAGGTACACATGGCTATATTTCAATCATCAGGGATGAAGCTGGACTACTTTTGAAGAAAACTGAGGTACGATGAGAGGACTACTTTACCCTTCTGCTGAAATTGAGCAGAATGCAGTGCGAACTGCTTGTATCTATTTTAAAAAATGGGTCAAGTATTGCCTCATGAAATCGAATACAATAAAGTAGAATAGCGCTTAGCCACGTGAAAGGGTAGGTGTTAATTTGGTGACCCACGAAAGCAAATCCTCTTTGTGTGTAGATTTAGACAACTAATACAAAATCGTGTTCGCTGAAACGTATAAAAATTTACAATTGAAAGTTGGTCGTCAGTGTAATTTCTGTCTCGTGTTATCCGTCAAAGGCGTTTGACGGATAACACGAGCCAGCTGAAATTCGAGAAAGGACCACGCGACCCCGCAGATGCCGTCAATTTTGCTCGTTGTTCCTCCTCCCTTTCTCTTCTGCCGTTGAATTGGCAGTGGGAACTGTTCTACGCAAATTTGCAACTTTTGGCTTTAAAAAAAAACTTTTTCTGGGCACTAATTTAGGTTTTGCATATCAGGGTTTCATCAAAATTATTTGAATTCAAAAATCTGACGCAAGTTGAAGCCACCTTTGTCTCTCCATAATGGAAGAAGGGAATATAACTAAACATTGCTATTTTCGCGCAGCCTGATAAAAGAGAATTTGCGTATAACCTTCCCCCCGCTATGCTCTCGCAACGAAGACGCACATACCTCGCATGTACCTCGCATTGTCTTCAAACTTCGGATGTTTGTCGTGGGTTTATGAGAGGATCGCAGGAAAGCGGCATTTATTTAACAAGAATGCGTTAATCATATATGAATGATTAAAAAATTTGACAGTCTTACCCACATGATATTTCCATTTAATGCAATGAACAGTTATAGCGCTAAAGCGTTCCACGCCTACCGGTCACGTCACATGCACTATACTCTCAGCGCACCTTAAAAAATGCTAAAGGCGCCAATTTCCCCTTTGCTGCTCGCAGCGCCTCCAAGTGACGTCATTTTAAACTTTCGCAAATTTAATATTGAAAAAAAGTCAATATAGCAGAAGTTCTGCTGTAAGACGGATTACCTTATGGAATAAAAAGAACTAATAAATGCTATAGAAATGCAAACTTCAGGCGGTCAGATGAAGGAACTAATTTCAATATAAATATACTATGACCCTGGAAGCTGAATGAACTCGACACCCTCAATAATCCTCGATTTTGCGGGCACAATATCGAATACCCAAATATGACTGAGAAAAAAAAAACTTCTAAAGCTTCCATCTGAATGAAACTAAATTTGTCGTAATATTCATAACAGAAACATGAAAGAATTCACAGAAACTCACGGCACCAAGTCCGAGAACATTTTGAAGTGTTCCATTGATGCAGCCGGCTGTGCACCGAAAACAAACGAAACGTGATCCTTTAGTAGAGGGGAGGACGGCCGAGCAGGAGGTACATTCCGATGCGTGTTTGGCGATCGGGTGGTATTTCAATGTTCGAAACCTTCTAGCTCCAGAACATTTTCCTGTAACCAGTGGCCGAGTCCGAACGGCAGAGAGGTCCTTCGGTTGTCTCGGCTTCAGCGCGCTCTTCTTCGATAACGTTTCGGCGTTTGGTGGGCATCAATTGTGCAAGCGCAGTTTAAGCACGATGTAAGGCAACAAGCCAGTCCTGGAGGCCTTGGCGTTCGAAAGAGAGGCCATGCCGTTCTTATCCGATCGGTTACTATAGTATATAACATAAAACTGCTACACATAAAAGCGAAACTCAACTGAAATATTTTCTTTGCACGGGTCTATTTAGCCGTTACAAAGTAGAAAACACCAATATATAGGGTGACCCAAGTCACCAGGCTCCATCTAAAATGGACCGTAAAAATTGACGCCTGCACCTAGCAATCTAAAATTTGCGTCAAAGGTCTATTTTTAAGGTCGGTTTTTTCTTGTAAAATTACAAAGCGTAGCTCTTTTTCTGTAAAAGATATGGCCAAGAAACTTAGCAGGGGCTACGGCGGGTGGCGACGCAGTCGACCAAGTTCACCAGCGGGCCGTGTTTGGCGTTCGTATTGATAGATGGCGTCGGGAACAACGTCCGAAGGTGCAGCCTACCAGCGAAAGAAGCAGACGACACACAGACAAAATTTGTTGGCAACAAAAGCGCCGTCCTTATGCAGACACGTTTTTTTTTCCTTTTTTTACTTTTACTTTTGCTTTTATTATCCGCATTTATTTTTTAACCTGTGGGGTTTCCTGTGGTCTCCCTTCCCCGATGGCTGCGATAGCAGGCGCGGGTCGGAACACTTGGCCTCCTTCGCCGTGAGCTCCGACCTGTTCGTGAGGCGGAGGGTCCCCTATCTTGGAGGGCCCTCCTCTCACTCTCTCTCGGGGGGACCGATTTCCGTTCCCCCGCCCGGGTGCGGATCACATGCTGACAGGCAAGGAGGTTTCGCCTCTTGTTTTCCCGCTTTCGGGAAAGGGACTCGTCCGGTGACCGCGAAAGAGATAGGACGTGTATCGGCGACTTCTCCGACGCTTCCCCCATCTTGGCTCTCCAAAACCCCGCGTCTGTCAGGTGAGGACCATATCTTACCTTCCAGCTCGGGGGGGGGGGGGGGGGGGGGGGGGGGCATTTTGGACTGGAGCATTGTGTTTCATTTAGAAGAGTGCTCTAATAAATGCTCTTGGACTCTGTCCTTACTCTAGTACCTGTGTCTTCTATTCCGCTATATTCGAGAGAGTGAAACAAGGTAGACGATCATTGCACCGATGGAGGTAATTTCTCGAACCGCCGCGGAGATGTGGGGACCGCGCTACTAGGTTTCACGGCTCCTTTGAGATCGCCGCCGTTGTTGAGATAACCCTTTGGCTACTCTATCGGTATTTCTGTTGGTATTGAATTCCCTCAACCCAAAAATGCATTAAAAGAAAAAAGGATCATGTTTATTTTAATAAATCACGCTGGTGTGAGCCGTCGCGATAAGGAGGTAGCGCCATCTATCCAGTACGAACGCCAAACACACCCTTCTACTGGACTTCGTCGCCTACGTCACCATCCGCCGTAGACCCCGGCAAGCTTCCTAGCTTTATTTTTTACAGAAAAAAAGCAACGCTTTGTAATTTTAGAAGAAAAAGCCGACCTGTAAAATACGCTTTTGACGAAAAGCTTAGATCGCTACGTGCAGGCGTCGATTTTTACGGTCCATTTTAGATCGAGCCTGGTGACTTGGGTCTTCCTATATTTAGGGCAGTCAACAGTCAACTGCCAAAGTTTAAGTATTACTTTAAAGTGTCCTAATGCAGTTATATAGGAATCTTTGAAAGACGTTACGTACTGACCTGGACTGTTTTCCTCACTCGCCCACACCACTACACGCGTGGATATTAATGTAACTAAACCTCGAAAAACTGTGAAGTGTCTAATTCTTTTAGAGGAGAAACAGTAATCTCACCGTCGGCAGCCGCGCAAGGTTGTAGGATTATAAGAGAGGCGCCCAGAAAAAAAGTGAAATAGATCATCTTGAGTGGCTTGGATATATCTGTCCGTTCTGAGTTACAGCTCTGTAATTACCCACATATATAGACCAGGTTTCCTATGTAGTAGTCACGTGATGTTTTTTTCAAAAAATTCGTATCTATTGGTGGATCCCTTGGCAACACCTGTTCGAATGACGATGGTTTCCACAAAAACGGTGCATGTATTCCAGTCTGCTGCGAAAACACTCAATACTTTGTTTTTGCTCCGACCTTCTCCAACAAGTTTATGTGTAATCGTACATTGACAAGGTTTAAGCTGGGTTTAAGTACCCGCATAATGGAGGTGGGTTTATCTAAAACCTAACAAATGATTCATATTCGTTCGTACTTCATGCAAACGCCATTCTCTAATGCTTTTGGGTGACGCCAGAGGAAGTAATAAATACCGAGTGAATCAAGCTTCATTCAGATGGTGCGCTTTTATGGAGGTACCTTTCATGTCAACTTCAAAAACAGTGCGGGTAAAAATAACACACAATCTCAGATTATTTTGCTTAGTAATGCATTGCCTTAAACAGCCTGATATCTACAACCTACTGGAAAGCAACCGCACTGGTAACGAGCGATTTTGTCAAACAAACCCTTGTATAGTCCGCGGATTTAGATTGTTTGTATGGCAAAGAATATCAGCTTTTAGCCGTGTATGTAGTCCGGAAGGTATGGTAATGTGTAATTGTTAAATTATAGCGTTTTGGCATTTTGAATATATTTCCAAATATTACCAATGGGGACTTTCTTGGCGTGGTCTTGATCGAAATTTCAGAATTAGGCTTCACTACTGATTGTTCGAACGATATCTGGCATCTATGGTTCATGCCTGGAACTTCTATATGTTTGTGGCGAAACAGAGAAAAGCCATAAAAAAAGCTCAAGAAAAACACTTTGGCATAACAAACGCCTGGAATCAAAAGCTTATTTGGCCCAAGTTAAAACCCTAGGATTGCCGAACCTGTGCCAAGTTTCCAAGTAAAACAATCATTTGTATGAGAAATTTCTTGTGTCCAATAAACACATTTGAATCATACAAGATGTATAAGAACATATAAGAACATATAAGAACCATATAAGTATTATATGATAACTATATAAGAATTATATAAGATATATAAGAACCCAATAAGAAACGTATAAGAAACTTCCCACTAGTTTCTTATATGATGCTTGCATGTTCTCATATATCTTACACAATTCTTATATAGTTCTTATATGGTTCTTATACGGTTCTTAAATGTTCTTATATATCTTGTATCATTCATATGTGTTTATTGGACACAGAAATTTCTCATACGAATGAGAATTTTTGATAGGGTTGGGTCAATTTTCTGGCAGGCTGCCAGAGAAACTCCGTTATTTAGTTGGTACCCATTTTTTAACATCACGATAGATCTAAAAATGGCTCATTCTCGCTTTTTCGGGTGTTTTTTTTATACTGGCGAATTATTTTGTGACGACTTTGCAACACACCGCTGCCTTACCACCACAGCCCACTACCCACATTCATTTTTTCCACGCATGTGCCTGTTTGTCTGGGAGCATCTGTTGGGACGCCATAATTGCAACTGCGTATATTCGAGGACAACTTACTATGAAGGTACTGAAATTAACAGCTCACGTACGTATGTTTCAAAAACAGAAAATATATGCAGCCAACCGCACGTGTCTTCGCTCACAAGGACGCCATTCTTTTTGCTGTCTTTTTTTTTTTTATTTACAGAAAAAAAACGGCATCGCCGTGAGGCATTACTGCAGGAGGTGGGTTACATACGACCATTTTTTAGAACACAAGTAATGCACACACACACACACAAAGCACTTTTCTATGAAGCAAAAATAAAATGAAATAAAATGAAATAAAACATACCGTCTAAAAAACATTACACAATTGAAAAATAATAAAAAAAAGTTAACGCAAGCCCATTTTTCGGCAACCCATTCCATTTTTCGGAAAGAAAAAAAAAGCAAAGGTGTCGGTGCGGCAAGAGAACGGTCTGATTTTCTTGTAGCGATCTGCTCTTTTGGACACAAAACGGTTCAAGTAAAAAGGTATTTTTGTTAGCTAATAGTCCCTTGTTGTAAATATTATCTAAAAATTTCAACCTAGCACATTGATCTAGCACATTGATTTTGTACCTTTTCGTGTTTGTCTATTAAATAATTTTGGTGCGGATCCCAGACAACTGAGGCGTATTTCATATATGGATGGATAAATGTAAAGTATAAAGTTTCTCTAACTTGCCTCGAGGCCTGCTGAAAATTTCTCGGTACAAAATTAAGCATGCGTAGAGTCTGTAGGGCTATCATTTGAACGTATCCCGTCCACGTTCGAATGCACATACTTTTTTAACATTTAGGTTCAATCTTTACACCACACATAATTTTTTTCTAGATCACTTTGTAATGTATTACTATCGTTGCAATCAGTAATTAATCTATATCCCATAATCATCTGCAGATAACGAAACACATGATTGTATGCCGTAAATGATGGCGTTTAAATAGATTAGGAAGGGCAGAGGATCCAGTACCGAGCCCTGGGTGACACCAGACTCGACTTTTACATACTTAGAATTTTCCCCACCGAGCACGACACATTGCCCTCGTCCACTTAGGTAATCACTGATCCAAGCCAGTACGTTGCTACATAGTGTCAATAAGCTAAGTTTATAAAAGTAACAGATCGTGATCTACAAAGTCAAACGCCTTTCTAAAATACAAAAACAAACAATCCACTTCGTCTCCAGCGTCAATGGCTCCAGCAAGAAAATGAAAGACATCAACAAGTACCTTGATACAGGATTCTACAGTACGAAATCCGTGTTGATCTCGAATAAGACACGCTGTCATGTTGGCTCTAACAAAATTCGACCTTTATTTAGACGGCACGTTTTTCACTGTTCAGAGAGACCACGCAGCGCTAACGTGGGCTCAGGCTGAAGAAGCCTTTGGGAATGCTGGCTCGCTGGGCTCTAACCCTGCAGGGCTACTCCTACACGACTCAGTAACCAAAGGGCTCGACCAACAAAGTCGCGGACATGCTCTTCCAGGCGCCTCAAGATAGCGGTTGGGAGGTGAAGACGCAATCCAGAGGCAGGGAGGAGCGTGGGAAACATCGAGCACAGTATCATTATACAT